CTAAATAAAATAAAATAAATAGGCTTAATTGTGTAGTGATACCGTAATGCAAGTTGTATGAACATGTTAGTTGGTATGTCTGTATATGTGTCATGATGTCATGTGTGGTGAGAGTTGATTGGTTCTTGCTTAACTTGATATCTAGAACTTGCCTTGTGTGTGATTGAATTAGTAGCTTGTATGACTTAGGGAATGTGATGGAGGCCGTTTCTTTGATTTAACCAATTCTTGACTCTACTTTTATGCCTTCCATTGAAATTATCCCTAGTGAATCCCCATTGAGCCCTTAGCCTTGTTTATTGATAAGCCACATGGTAAGCCGAAACCCGTTTGTTTGATACCAAGTCTTTTGATCCTAATAAAATTCTTAATGCACTATGTTAAGAAGAAAGGTTGAAAATTGTTGGTTGATATAATAAAGGGTGAAATGCTACATTGTGTGGAAAAGAAAAGGATAGTTAAAAAATTTGTTTTGGCCCTGATCCTTAGTGACAATGTGCACCTCAACTCAATTGAGGATGGCTATTTCAGAACTATGCTCGAAACATTGGCCCTGATCCTATCAAGGATAATGTGTACCTTACTCGGACTTTAAAATCTAAAGTGAGGGTGGCTAGTGCAAAGGCATGAAAAAAAATATGATAGAGGGCGAAGATGGAGCAACAAAAAGGGGTAACATATTCATGAAGTGTGTACTAGGAGGAAAGAAAAGCTATGAAGGGTGGCAAAATAATGACATGTGCATTAGGGAGGTGTAGTCACTAAAATGATTCCTAAATATTTCCTCCCTTACCTTAAGCCAACATTACAACCAAATGAAAGTCCTCTTGATTCCTTGAGAAATACAATGCGAAAGTAAGAATACACTATTGGCAAGCTTATGGTATGTTGAGAAAAGTAAGAACTTCTTTTGTGAGAGTGAGTTGATTGTTTGAAAAATAGGCCTTGTTGATATTGCAATTGCTTGAGTGAAAGGCTTTACTAAACAAGAACAAGTGAGGGCATTTATGGCATGTGTTTGTATGAGTTTGCATTAGCCCGAAAAAATATTAAAAGAGTCATTTTTTGAGCATATGTTGTAACTTGGTGTAAATGTTGTGAAATGTTGCATCCATTGTGAACTACAAGATCATGATTAAAAATGTTTGGTTGATTTTAAGGTGGGTTCATAAATCCAAGGGTTGTGAAAAAGAGTTGATAGTCTAAAGATTGTTTGAGGACAAACAAAAGTTTAAGTGTGAGATGGTGATCTTAGGCGTATTTATATGCCTAAGTTGTCAATATCTCCCCATGAATTGATTGAAGTAACGAATGATCTTGAGTCTATTAGCTTGATTTCGTTATACTTGCGCTATTATGCACTAAAACATGTGATTAGAAGTTTCAGGAACTCTCAAGGAGATTGGAGTTGAATTGAAAGAAAAGTTGCAAGGATATGCTGAAAAGAAGTTAAGGCTGAAGGCCCCAGGGACAGGCGCACTGCTAGGCGCGGGCGCCAAGGACCAACATTCAGAGAGGCCTTTCAGGCGCGACGCGCCAAGGCCCAACATTATGGGGCCTCTGAGAGGCGCGACGTGCCAGAGTGGAAACCTCAGAGGTGAAGTTTGGGTGCGATGCTAGGCGCAACACGCCAGTGGGATCCCGACTTTTCCAGCTTAAAAGTGTTAATAAAAGATTCCTAATTGTAATAGACTTTGGCTCTAAGTTTCCTACCATTATAAATAGACCCTTAGGGCTCCATAATTAGGGTTCGACATTATTTTGGTGTGCAAGAGCAAGATTCGTCTTTTGTAATAGGTTTTGATCTTCTAAACTCTTTTATTTTCCGAAAATCGCATGAACAATTGTATTTTGTGGTTTTCTAATAGCATGAGTGACTAAACGCCCTAGTTCTGGGGCTATAGCTACGAATGGATTGTTGATTATTAAAGGTTTTATGAATTAATTCTTGGTTGTCATTATAAGTTACTTCTATATTCTTGTTTTAGTATTTTATGCTTGATCACCATAAGATAAATACACTGTCTAATCTTAAAATCGAGAGAAAAGGGATTAGATAGACTAGAGAATAAAGAGAGCTCGATCGACCCATTTGATTGAGGTGATTTTTGTTTAGGAGTGACGCCCGGACGAACAACTTGCTTGGTTACGAAATAGGATGAAATATAAATCCTCGCCAGTTAGTCTATTTATTCCCGCTCAATGATGTAGTTAGATAGCTAACTGGAGTATGCGACTAGAGGTGTGTAGCCCGACTCATACAATTAACCCTATAAACCAGTAACTTGACAACTGAAATTCGTTCTAAGCCAATAATATGGTACATGAGATTCATGGCATGCTACAGCCCTGGAATTGTCTTTTACTTGCTTGAAACATCATCTTAATGTAATGACCCGGAAAGTCATTAGTGGAAATTTTGAATATCCATTTAACTAGAGTCAACTAATTGATGGTTAATTATTAAATAACTAATTTTAGTTAATGCTTAATGGGTTAAGTTTATAATTAGTTTAATATAACTTGACCCATATAGGAAAATAATTTTTAGGGTTGAGAATTATTGGGTCATAATTTAGAAAAGAAAAGAAAGAGAAGGCAGCACTCACCTGTGCGGACGCGGCGTGAATACGGAAAGGGCAAGTTGTTCCTCTCCTCTCCTGTAAGTCGATTTCAAGTTATCCTTGCAAATTTGCATATAACTGCATTAAATGCTCTTTCATATGCCAACATTAATTGCACCTATATATATATATATATAGTTGACCGAATTGATGCTAATTGGTTTTGGAGTTTGGTGAAGGCAATCAACATTTATTATTATTATATTAGTATAATAGTAAGGAATTGAAGGTTGTGAAGTCATAATATTATATTAGTATAATAGTTCTTGGTGACTTTGAGAATTTAGGGGACAAGAAACAGTGGAACATTACAACGTAACGATGACATTAAGCGAAATTCATTTAAGGGTATTAAATTATTGATATGCCGTCAATTGCCATTTTGGGATGATTATTGGACAATTAATCACTGGGAAAACTAAAGTGATAAAAAGGAGGCGTGTGTGTAATTTCTGCATAATTGTTACTATTTTGGTGGGTTGTATCCATGTTGGTAATATATTTATATGATGATCTAGTTCTCGATTTATGATATAGGAGAAGTTGAAACTTAATTCTAAGCTTGAAACTTGGAAAAATAGGAGAGTTGACATGTTAATTGGCATCGAACTTAGGAATTTGATTATAAATTTGAGTGAGTTCTGTGTCTAGACTAGACACATAGTAATATGAGTGTTGTTAGTTTTGAAATCTTATATCATTATTTATTTGAATAGATTTTATGGATTTGAAAGCTCAACAAAAGGGGAAGACTCAAGTCCTGAAGTGATTGTTGATTAATTGAGGCAAGTGGATTTCTAAACTCTTGTTAAGTGTATGGAATTCATGTATTTTCTTGTAATATGTGTTTAGGGTAATGAGGCTTGGTGATGGGTTGACTTGTCCACATTGATTAATTCTAATGATGAAAAAGGGATAATAAAAGGCAATGTGATCAATTGTTTGTGTGATGTGTTGGGAATTGTTTGAAAGGCTTGTTAAATCATTGTTGATGTTGTATCTTGATTGTCTTGTTGTGAATTGTGCAATGTTATGAAAATGGTCATCTCCTCATTATTTGTGTGAACATGTCATTTGCATTGTTCTGAGACATGGTTCTGACAAGTGTTATGTGCATTGAGAAAGAATAAGAAAATAAAGAGGATGTACCATTTCGAGGGACGTATCGCTCGCCGCGATGGATACTATATAATTCGAGGGACGTGTCGCGCGCCGCGACGGATACTATATTTCGAGGGACGTATCGCGCGCCGCGATGGTTACTATTATCGAGGGTCGTATCGCACGCCGCGATGGATGCATGGACAGATATGTCCCCCATGGGTCCCGGACTGAGAGACAGCGGGTGTGTATCATTAGGTCAGACATGCATCACTATACTTGACATTGCATTTCATTGCATTGCACTTCTTTATTATTGGTGAACTTGATCTTGTGTGTTGCTGATCTTGTGAGTGCCTTTCTATGGAACTTGTGACTGATGAATTATTGAGCTTGTTGTTGAAGATATGAAATTGTTAGAGTGTTGTGTTGAACTATGTGCTTTGTAAACTTTGAACTGTTAGGTTGGGCTGGTTTTATACAGATTGTAGTTGTGAAGGTTCGGTTGAGGTGTAATGAGTACTTGTATTCTATCCCCTTAGCTCGTGTTTAGAGGTTTACTTGTTGAGTACCGTGTGGTTTGGTACTCACCCTTTGCTTCTACAAATTTTTGTAGGTTATGAGCCTGGATTTTTGTGGTACTTGTTATTCTCTTCTTTTTCGAGGCTTCTGGGAGATTTGTAAGGCAGTTGTTTGTCTTCTCAGCGATCCTTCTTACTCCTGTTTATGATCTTGTTCTACTCTAGAAACAATGTCATATGAGACTTGTATTTTCCTTTTGATTCAATTGTAATACTTTAGAGGCTTGTGCACGTGACAACCAGATTTTGGGGTATTTTTAAGTTAATTATGAAATTTCCGCATTTTATTGTAATGGGTGAGTGTTAGGCTGACTTGTCTTGGTGGGATAAAACGAGTGCCATCACGTCCATTTTTGGGTCGTGACACTTAAAGTCGTTCACATTTAGTTACGTTTATTCAGTTCATAATTAGTAGTAGTTAACAATCAATCATCAACTCTTGAAAATGTTACTTTTACTTTTATTTGTAGCATTAAGTGTTAAATATAAATTGATCATAAGTCCCTTGGGAACGATAACTCGTTTCTTAAAGAATCTATATTACTTGCGCGACCACATACACTTGCGTGTATATTGGGGAGCAACAATAGTCTGATACTTGGGAGATGTTACTGAATACACTGTAAATTTGAGCCTGTAATGAGAAGATAGCATAGGATCATTGACTTGCCACAAAATTTTCAAGCTATGTAACTTTAAGATGTAATTCGTTTTTTCAAAAAGCCACAATTCCGTGTAGCTGTCGAATGTACAGTAGATTTCAAGTTTTGAAAATACAAATAGGACCTCCTTAAATAGATAACATTTGTAGTAGGATTAACTGAATTGATGATCTCTATAACCAGCTTCATTAGTTTTTGACAAGCCTCAAAGTAGTTGATGTAACAACTGGTGAACTTCAGCCACTCCAACGGAAAGTACTAACGATCAATGAAAGATTTGTTCATAAGATCAACTGCAGAATCCATGAACTGCAAGCACAAAAAAACAACAGCGAAGTGTCAAAAAGGTAAAATGACACTTGCACGTACATACCCACAGGTCTATGCAAGAATCCAGCTACGAATGTGCATCTTTGTAATAAAAACTCTATTTTTCACATTCTTGACTGTACTTCTGATTGTCTAATTGAAAAATTTATGCTAGCTAGGAGGAAGGGGAGAGCAGCAGCAGCATCTTCTTTGTTAATTAGCCAAATACTCTTATGAGTGCAGTTATACTACCTACATTCACCACTTTGGTTATTGTTTTTGCAAATGCACAGGAAATGAAACTACCAACTCCACCTTCTTCAGAAATCAACATATTTTTGAAATTAGACCACCTTTCGTAAAACTTGATCCTTCACAAAAAGCTATTAAAGAAAGACATGTGTCATACTCTTAGTCGAAAGTTTTAGTGGTTAACAATTGGACAATTTTATTTGACTACAAAACCAAATGTATATACACATGCGCTCACGGATGTCAGTATGATGTCTATAATCACCAATACCCATCAGTCTTCGCTACAAATGAGGGATAGCACCTTCTTTTCTAACCATTCTGTTAGTATTCCCTCTTTAAACTATACTAGTCTTGAATCCACTGAGCAAATATAGCATGGAAAGCATGGTAACTTCCTACAGCTTTTAGGGCTACTCATTTGCTATATCCATATTCTGCAAATTTTGTAAGCTATTACATTGAAGTTCAAAAAAGGTTATAACTTTTGCAGGTAAAGCTAAATCAGTTCTGAGACAAGGCAGAAACTGCTCATGCAAAGGTTATGTGAAAGGAATGAAAAACTTGTTTTAGTGGCAATCAATAAATTAACTAACGAAACTAGTTGCTTGCATAAGATCTACACCAGTCACTGGATTTGTCTCAACAGGATTGTTCTTTAGATAATTGGAACAGTAAACTAGACAAAGTAAAAAATTTACCTTCCCAACTGACTTCAGTTCTCGCCCAACAGGTTCCATAAATTTCAAGTCGACTTCAATGGGCCATACCTGCATGCATATAAAAAGTAGGGAGTGTGAAAACTGAACGCCGGGACTTAATGAAGAGGCTCACGAGAAAAGCCAAAAACTAATTGAGATAACATATTTAGCACAGACAGCCAACTACCATAAGTAATTACATTTGCTCAATTCAACAAGTGTCATTCATGTGAGCTTTCCTCTCCCTCAACACGCAAAAGTAAAGGAATCTGATTTACTTCCTTACACTACTGATACGCAACATCATCATTCCCTTTCCCTAAATGTGCAAGGTGGTTTCAAGCCAAGCATCAATCCAATCTTTATTATACCTAACAAAGACAACTGGTAGAATTTCTAAATGCCAACTTAAATCCCCTCTGCAAAGTAGTCCTATCACTTAAAATATGCAACCATCAGACTGCAACATAGAAATAACAAAAAACACTTGACCTGCTGGCTGAACTAAATAACATCGTCACCAAAAGCAATTTTTTTCTTTTTTTTTCATTCCAACACCTAGACATGAAAATAAGACCCTCATATGCTTCACAGTGAGCACATGCACATCAATCTCTAATTACCAAACCCTACAAGCTAAGCATGAGCAATAACTCGATTACAGCCGCAAGCTTATGTTAAACAAATCACCAGTCGTCTCAAAGGATTCAGAATTCAATAAATAGTTTCGTGATAACAGTCTAAGAAGTGCAGCATCTAACTGAACAAAATTCTAAAGACAGAATTTACCATCTTTAGAGTATTAACTCTATCACTTTCTCCAACAAAGTCATAGTTCCAGTAGAGAAGTAAATCATTTCGGATTCTAATAGTAAGAATTCCATTGTCACTGTAGATAAAATAAAAAGAACAAGTTAAATTATAGAAGCACCTTAAGCCCCAGAAGCTTGATAGGTGGATTCTGTCCAGGAACAATGCAATCAGGGCCTGCTGCTTCTACTATTGCCTCCGTCCCCAATCCGCTACCAATTGGATCTGGATGCTGCAATTCCCAATCCAAAAAAACCACAAAGATTACATCTTTCGAAGTAACTCCCATACCCCCATCACCCCACCCCAAAGAAAAGAGAAAAAAATACCACACAAACAACTCAAAAATAAAAACTACCATATACAAATTTTAGAGAAAAGTGGAACTCACAAAATGAGAAACAACAAAACAGAAACAAATATATGACTGCAAAAAAAAAAAAAACGAACCTTCATGATAGAGAGAGCATAATCGGAAAGAGGGTTTTGAGGTATACGAAGAACAGGGGAATAATGAATTTTAGGGATGGGTTTTGCACCAGAAGAAGCTCTCCAAGGAACATCTTTCTGTAAGGCAGCAGCTCCTCCACCCATTTCGGCAATTTCTATATCTATGAATTCTTGGAAAACAAAAAAAAACCCTTTTTTCTATTGCAGAAATGAAATTTGTGGCGATAAAGAGGAAGATGAACAGTGAAGAAGAAGAAGATGAATATAGCAAAGCGTTAGCTACAAGAAGTGGCACTGACTGGATTTTCCTATCAATTTTTATCTGGGCTTTTTTTTAGTGGACGGAATCTATTTTTATCATAAGATATTACTATTTTATTTTTCAAAAATTAATTATGATTAATTGCTAGAAATTTATGTCCAAACACATAGTATTGTGAAGTGATTTTTGGTAAAGTTTTTTTTTTCACACCTAATATCTGATTCCACATTAGAGTTTGATTACTTTGGATAGAGTTTCATTAAGAGGAAAGCGCTCCTACCAAAAAATAAATATTCATACAAATTCAAACCCGAAACCTCAAAGAGCAACAACCCCATTTACTGCAACACTGAGCTCTCAAAATCTCGAGAAGCAGCAGTCACATTCACTGCACCACTAAACTCTCGAAACCTCGAGGAGCAACAACTTCATTCACTGTATCACATCTTTGCTGGTAAGTGATTTAAAGGTGATTTTGCATGTTAACTAATAGTGATCAAGTGTTGAAATTTTTTGTGCAAACACCTTATTTAATATAGTAAAGTGATTTAATAAGGTCAAAAAGCATGTTAATTGATCATGAGTAAATGTTTAAAAAGTATATACAAACGCATACTATCATGTATCTATTAATTTATCATAAATATTGAGGGCGAATAATTTTTTATCAATAAAATCACAACGTTCGTTTTAGCAATAAGTTTAGCAATAAGTAGAGTGCAATGACCGGAAGATGGTTGTTAGTTGTTACTACTTACACCAAATTAAGCATTTTATACTGATGTCACAGACTATAAGACTTCAACTAACACTCCATACGACACTCGACAACTTACTCAGGATCATGACAGAGCAGTTAAAATTTAAAGTGAAACACACATATCATTGATTAAGTGAAAAGTAATAAAAGCGTTTATGAAGTGAAAATACGGTACTACTTTCTGATACCATTGTCTAAACACTAAACTATGTGCAATGACCCATAAAAAAAACTATAAATAACCTGTAAACATGAGAAATTGTTGCCTTCAAAGTTCACTGAAGAATAAAAATTTCTCTAAAGAGGGCAAAATTACAGAACAAATTACACTTAAACAAACCATTCCTGAGCTGCAGCACGCGACAAAGCAGTTATCAAATACATATATGAGTTACACACGGCTGCATTGCCAGTCATCTTCAACGATTCAACACACTGAAACCAACGAACAAAAACTAAGAGAAATGAATACCAGTATAACAAATGGTCATGGTTGTGGTCCACATATCCAGTTTTGGATTTGGGGTCTAATCCCACCTTAATGGAACAGGAATCGCGATGAATGTGTCCTTTTTAGCGTCCTTGTGTTGCAGCTGCTGCTAATCTCTGCCATCTTAGTTCTCGCTGCTCTTCCAGTTCAGTGGCCCGGGATGCTTTCTCAGAATACTGTCTTTGGCACTCATCGAACAGATCAGCATCCATTTCCATGAACATTTTGCGAACATTTACAGTCAGCCCATGGATAGCTTGATTCCAATGATTATCTATGTTCTTTTGCAGAGCATAAAAAATGATCGGGAAAATGACATTGCGGTTCTGCGCGATCAATCCCACTATGTGCTCATTGTTCCATAGAAATAGAGCTCGTTCTGCAACCTGAAATATGAATTTGCTTCAGAAATACCACAAGATACAATAGATTGCCATCTCATAATCCTACGAATTATTATCAGATGATATCAAAATAAAATTAATATAAAGTGTAACTTACTACTAGAGCATTTCTCAACAGAAAGCTGCTGCAAATGCACAAATGAAAAAAAGGACGAAAAACAAAAAGAATGGTTTTTACTGCACAAGCAAATAATGTTTCCAATGTCCACATGAAATATTTTGATTCACACCTATACTTGAACATGTATGTGCTTAAGACATCTAGTCGGTCTGATCAGAAATAGACGTTGCAATTGACCTTCTAGGAAAGAACAAAAGAATGAGACAAATGGACATTTAACCAAAGAATTTCACAACCACCACCTCTGGAGTACACAGCTAAAAACCTGTTACAGTCAAAAGCAAGCCGACTCACAAAGAAAGAAACTCTAAATAGATTTTTTTTTAAAAAGGATTCACTGAGAAGTTCAACTGAAATCACAAGAAAAGAACTCAGAATCTGACCCTTACCTAGTAGCTAACTTTCTTGGGTAACAGGACAAGATTCTAAAGCTTGATTGGGTAAATGTTCCAGGACAGAAGTGGCCAAAAGAGTAACTACAACTAAGGCAGCCTTTCATAATCTTCCCATCTCCAATCCATGTTAGGTTCCTTAGCAGTTCAAGGAACTCAAGAAAAATTCAAAACAGAAAAAAGAAAGCACCTCTAAAAAGTGCAAGCTTATAATTTGAACTGAACTACTCATGCAGCAATAGTAACTAGCAACGAAGTGCTGCCCATAAAAAGGATAGTAAAGTAGAATACATCCATATCCAAGCTCACTCTATGCTTTTAACACATCTTCTTGTGCTTCTCACCACAAAGCAAAAAAAGAAAATAGCAAAGTCGCTTCAGAACAGGAAAAGGAATTTTTACAATTTCACCTCCTAAGCAACGTAGCAGAAACAAAGCACTAGAACCCTAACACTCATTCACTTAATCAAGGGAAACACTGAAACAATAAGCTGAGAAAATACTGAAAACAGATATATGCTCATAACACAGGTAGGCCATTTCACTCCAGCTTCTAGTCCTTCGAAGAAAGCATCCATCATAATCCTTGATGAAGGTTGATGATATTGTGATTGCAGGTAGTGAAAGGATAGAAATAAACCTGAACCTGTAATCACTCTTTCACCAAGAATCTTGGAAAGCTGGGATACTTGTTGGGTATAACAGTAGAAAGAACAAAATCTGGAAAAAAAGGAAAAATATTCGCTCGATTGGCCTCTCTATAGTAATGAATGCCCCTCTTCTCTTCTCTGGCGTCTAAAATGAACAACCCTTCACACCTATAATGGGGGTATTGCATAAATAGACAGGTCACTCTGTGGGATTGACAATCTTTGCTCTATAATGTTAGGTCCCAATCTTTGTTATGACCCTTAGTTATAAACCTACTTCACAAGCACATAAAATTATTGTTAAGGCAAGTGAAGGTGATGGAACACGGGCATTTGGATGTGGTTGAAGGAGAACAAAATTAATTAGTACGATAATTAACAGCACACATTCAAGGGTATTTTGTAATGTACATCAAGAAAGGGAAGACAACACAATTAGTTTCACTATTTCACTTCCTATTCCCCTCAAATTCTAGAAACTACCCAAGAATCTCCTAAAGCTATTAAGACATTGATTTAGCTACTCCCCTCCCTCAAGGCAGCATTAGACTACATGCCCGTTTGGATTAACTTATTTTTAGGTGCTTTTGACTTGAAGTTTTTTTAGTATTGGAGGTGTTTGGAAAGGTTATAAAGTGTTTTTAAGCACCATTTTAGGTCAAAAAAGTTTTAAAGTAAGTCAAAAGTTAAAAGCAGGGTACCATCTACTTATGACATCTAACTTTTGACTTATAAGTTAACTTTTTATAAGCCCATCCAAGCAGGCCCTATCCCTCCGTTTCAATTTGTTTAATCTTACTTTCCTTTTAGTCCGTTTAAAGAAAAGAATGTCTCCTTCCTTTCCTGGCAACTCTTTAATTCTAACATTCCACATGGCATGTTTAAGACTGCAAGATTAAAGGACATTTTAGTACATTCCGTATATCTTTAATTTAAGACCAAAAGATTCAAAAGTTTATTTTGACTTTCTTAAACTCCCTGTCAAGTCAAAACCAGACAAACAAATTGAAAAAGGAGGGAGTAATATTTTCACCATTAAAAAAAAAGATTTAAGTATTTTTTTTGTCCAAAGCCAAGAATACCCGAGGGACAATGGCATACAATTTGAAACTCGATGGACAATGGTCCGTTCCCTATACCCTTATCCACACTTAAATACCAGCTTTTGTGTATGACACGGAAAAAAAAAGGAGAGAAGGAACTTGTAATTTGTTGTCTCTCATTAATGATTAAACAACACCTTTCTGGAAAGATGCTCTAATAAAGTGTGCTCTCCTCTTTTTCATTAGCTAGAGCTTCAAAGTTTGTGGTTTGTCAATTAGAATCAAGTAGTCACTACTTAATCAAAATTAAAAAAAAAATCAAGTTGACACAAGTCACATTAGAATTTGCAGTTTAGCAAGAATTCTCTCATGCATAAAAACTTTTCTTTTGAATTAAAATATCCGTCTCCACTACTTTTTAACACTATTTGATGATACAACTGCAGAAGACAAAAGTAAAGAGGCTAGTACCACATATATTTAGAAAGCAAGCAACACAATGGAAAGCCCAGTGAAGCTCATATGGCATATATATCAAGGGTTGAAAGTTATGCACCAAGAAAATAAAAATAAGTGTGAAAAGTTAGCTGATCTCTTCTTGTTTGGTAGACAAGTTCTTACTGGCCAAAAGGTGATAACATAACCCTGAAGCTATGGTAACTGAAAAGGGTAGCTCCACCTCTTAAATTTGTTTTCACTTTCCCCTCAATAAGAACTAATACATTGGTCCAGAACAAATTGAGACAGCCAAAAAATTTTCCACTTAAATGGATTATGTACAGACATAAAATAAAGTAAAGCTTTTTTCTGAAACTTATTACTACCATCAAAGCACCACATTTCATTTTGATAGTACGCTATTGATCGAGTATGAGCAGTATAATGAGGAAATTCCTCTTTTGGGGAGTTATAAGTTACATCAACCCTAGATAATCAGCTAGGTGATGAGACCTCAGGAAGAAGGTACCCTCTATCTTGACATATAAATAGATGGCAGGCCAAAAGACGCTAACTAGACCTCTAATGTTACTCAAGCGCGAGGACAAAATGATTCACGTGTAACTATATTAGATACTGATTTTTGATAAAGCATTTGTGACATAATTATTTTATATGAACGATAGCATGAGCGCCAAGAATATGACAACACTCTTTCCATACAAGAAGTCAAGAAGCAAAAATGGTAGCTGATAAGACTAAATTT